CTCTGTTTTATCCAAATTGTTTGTTTTAAAACAAGTATTCCTTAGTTTAGTATCCGCACATTGTTTTAGTATACATTTTTTAAAACATATATTGTGGCAGTCATAAGGAGCACACACGATTGACTGTAAACACGTCTTTATTCCACGACTGCCGACAAGTGGATCTATTCTGAACAGGGACATATTTATTAAAAGAAAAAGAAATAAAAGTCCGCGAGAGAGAAGCCCGAACCGACCCGAACCTGTTGTACTTCCGCATTCCTGTCGTTTTGGTCCGCAGCAGAAACTGCACGTGTGACCGCAAGTGGAGCTGCGCCGACTCTGCGCCGGAGCTGTCATGCTCAGCGGCTTTGTACGTGTGACCGCTCCACAAAATTTGCTCCGGTGTAAAATATATCGCAACAGAATATTTCGGTGCAGCGTCGGACCAAATGTGTGCCGTGTGAACAGCGCTAATAACAAATCCTTCCTGGCATGCAATGAACTTTTAAGCCAGCCACGGGACGCTTCGTAGTCCCCGATGGCCATAGTTAGCTCTCAAAGGCTAAAAACCTTACACTAACTGGAGCGCTAATGAGAGAAAAGCGCCATTAATTATTTTTTAATGCCCACTTTTTGGGCCCCAATCACTCTTATTTCCCTTGTTGCACTGGTGTTTTTTTTTTTTTCTGAAAGTTGAAGAATTAAGCAAACTAAAACTAAATGGGATGGACCAAGTCACAGGAGAGTATTTCACAGCGTGGTGGACCCATCTGGGGCAATGGCTTCTTTCCGGCTTTGATTGCAGTGCTGCTTTTGACACCCATGCCCATGCTCCTCTGGTTCAGCTATCGGATGCCTCATGTGGTGGACATCATCACCTCTTCATGAGGGCAATAGACTTCATTCACGTGGCGCCATCAAGGCTCCCAGTGTGTGCTGTCCCCACTGATTGTGCAGGTGTTAAAAAAAAAGTGCTTAACGTTGCCAAATTGCAATTGCAATCACCAAAATACATGCGGCAACTGCTGAAAATACCAAAACAATCTCCTCAATATTAAGGAAGCTGTCATGCTGA